TCTGAGGAACCTTTGAGCAGTTTCAGGATTTCAGCAGTGATTTCCTGCCCCCAGAAGAGCTTGTGATGAAAGAGAATCAGTTCAAATACACTGGGAAGGGCAAATCCTGCTCTAATTGCAGCGAGCAGGGAAAGCCTGCTGTGCTCACCTGGGACCTGAGATGGGGTCTGGGTGCCCACAGATGGAGGCAGAAATAGGTTACAGCACCTAGAAACTTCCATGAGTCTGTGTGGCATTTCCCTGAGTGACAAACGAGGATTACTGACAATGAAATGCAAATGAATGAAGCATTTCAGTCAAAAAACCCAGGGGTGGTGTTTACCTGAGGAAATTCACTGTGAGGTAGGAGTGGGTTTTGGTTGTGTTTTAATTGCTGCTGACTCAGACACATCCTGAAGCATTATTTCTGCCCTGAGGATGAGGAGGGGATGGCTTCCTTCTTTCCAGATTAATCATAATTTCTGTGGGAATCGCACAGAAATTATGATTAATCAGAAAAACAGATCTCCCCATAAATCTCAGTAAAATCCATGAGGAAGATAAAACTATCAATGTTTCTCCCTTGCTGATTCCAATAGTAAAAAATTTTGTTGACTTGAGCAAGGAGAGCTCCCTTAGTGACTTCATCAGAAACAGGAGGTCACCTCTGTGCATTAATTAAAAAGGGGTTTTTGGGGGTCTGTGCTGCTGCCAGGCAGGGAGGGAATCCCATTTTTGGGAGGGAGGTCTGGTCAGGCCAGGCAGGAGGTTCAGCTGTGAACCTGCTCAAATATCACAGTGCCTCGCTGTCACAGACATCTTTTATGAAAAATCCTTTCCTTAGGATTTTTCCTCCTGAGAAGCTGAGAGGCCTCTGGAACAAAATGTAAACAATGATTATCTGCTGCTGTGGAATGCAACAGGTGCATCTGTGATTGGCCCATGTTGGTTGTTTCTAATTAATGACCAATCACAGTCAGCTGGCTTGGACAGAGGGCCAAGCCACAAACCTTTGTTATCATTCCTTCTTTTTCTATTCTTAGCTAGCCTTCTGATTAAAACTTTTCTTCTTTTAGTATAGTTTTAATGTTATATATATCATAAAATAATAAATCAGCCTTCTGAAACATGGAGTCAGATCCTCATCTCTTCCCTCATCCTTGGACCCCTACGAACACCATCACACCTCACATTTGATTTCATGGGAAATCCTGACATGGGAGAACAAAACACATTCCACTTCTCTGGAGAAACATTTGAACTCCCAAATGTAATGTGAGGTGAAAGTATGACCAAAGAAGTTTTGTGTTGCTAGAATTTTCTGTTTCAGTTTTGAGTTGTTTCTGCACTGGTCTATTTTTAGGGGGTTGGGCTGAGAAATTTGCTGAGGGGTTGTTCTGGTTCGTGATGGCGTGTTAATGTCAAATCCGTATTTTAAGTAGTTCTTGAAAAATGATGTTGAAATTCCCACATGTATCAGCCCCTAAATATATATTTTAAAATATATATTGGTAATCATCCTGTAAAGGTCACTAGAAGGCTGTGAGGTTGTGTCACAGAAACTTCAGGAGGGGACATAGGAAAACTGAAAGATCCAGGCTGATTTCCATTGGAAATTGAAACAATTTTAGGAGAAGTGAAAAAGGAGAAAGTCACAATTGTACACTTGCTCTTGGTGTAAGTCGAGTCCAAAGGGAGTGTGAAAAACACTGGTCCATCAATTCTCTCCTCCCCCAGAAAGGAATGCAGAACAATCATTATTTACATGAAAAGCGCGCGAGAAACTCCATTACAAAAATGTAAACATCAGAAGGCTTGGAAGAACTGTAGAAGAACAGGGTGACAGGGCTGCTGGGGTTGAAGGCAGTGAGAATTCCCTGATGTATGGCAGGTGGGTGTGGAGCAGGCCCTCACAGTGAGAACACAATCCCCTCCAAATGCATAATCTGTTTCTCGTGAAGCACATGTGGCCCCGTATAGAAGTTTTAGGTCAACTGATTCAGCTGAAGATTAGCCTCAATATTCTGAAAGGGGAGACTGTGGTTGCTCAGGGGACTTTAATTCCTCATAAAGGATTATACTGGGGCACCACACTGCTGCCACAGAGTCAAATCTTTTTGTGGGTTTGCTAAATTAACCTTTGTAATGGAAAAAGCTTATTATGCACTTTCAGCCAAAGGAGGAGACGAGTTTGGGTCGGTAGCAACTTAAAATGGCAGTGATTAGGATCCTAATCTAATATTCATAGTTCTGGGGCTTTTCTTTTATTTCTTCTTAAAGCATATTTCTCTACTGTGTTGCAAATGACTTGCTGAGAATTTCAGGAAGGATTTCTCCATGGAAAGGGTGGCCGGGCATGGGAAAGGGCTGGAGGTGTCCAAGGAATGACTGGATGTGTCTCTCAGTGCTCTGTGCTGGTTGACAGGGTGGTGATCAGTCAAAGCTTGGACTTGATGATCTTGGAGGCCTTTTCCAAGCTGATTCTGTTTCTCTGTGATGAGTCCTGCTCTGATTTAACATCGTGTGCAGGATACTTAAAATGGAAAACCCTATCAGAGGGGCAGGAACATGTGAAGGTCATGAGGGGGAAGGTACTGCAGTTAAAGATAAACCAATCATCACTTGTGAAACTCTGGAAAAGTGACTTTAATGTGTGTAATGTTAAATCTCACAGCCCTACATAGGGAGAGGAAAGGTTTCAGTTTTAGGCAGTGATATCTGTGTTTCCACATGTTTGCCTGTATTTTAGGTTGCATGCCCCTCGTTGATGGCAGTATACATTTTTTATCCTCCCTCACGAGTTTGTGCAATATTTACTGCCTGGTGCACAATGCAAATAATTGGTGGCACATTCTGATATTTAAGTCTCTTATAGGTTTAACAGGGTTGGGAGGGAGCAGGCTCTCGTTACACTGAAGAGGGAGAATGAAGGACTTTGTTCCTGCATTTCCAGTTTATTAAACATTGTCTGAAAGGCCTGATTGTTCCTGCCCTTTGCCTTCAGACGCTGCTGTGCATGGGGACCTTGGTGTGAAGGACAAGCTGCCTGACCTTGTGGGATGCCATGGATTTCTCTCCTCAGAGCTGCTGCTCCTTTTGATAGATTGTCCTTGCTTTCCTTTTCAGGACTGGTGCCATGAGCAGGCTCTGTGGATACTCTGCTATTTCTGTACCTGTGGCCCTGGTGCCTTCCAAACAAGTTGTTTCCTCCAGGTCCAGGGCAAGATTTATAGTGAAAAATTATTGCTCTGTTAAAAAAAAAATAACACAAGAAAATGGTTGTTTTGATCCATTTGGTCAGTTACATTTTCTGGGACATCTGCTATGAAAATTGTAGGATCAGATACTTCTAGAGAGGTTTGTGGCTATTGAATTGCCCCTGGGCTGGGTGTGCTGGGGAAGAGGATGTCCTGTGGATTTGGGGACCCCACAGCAGCATGACAATGGTTTTGGTGCAAAATGTTCTGTCTTGTGGCATAGGAGGAGTGTTAATTGAGAATAGTGACAAGAAGAAAATTTAGAGAGAATTAGTGGAGATGAAAACAAATAATAAAGTTAGGAAGAAGGAGAAATTAGAAGATAACCCACAATTATTTTTTTCTAAGAGCTTGCAGACAATTTGGGTTTTTTTCAGCATTTCCATGTTCCAGCTGCAGCCCGTGCTGATCATGAGAGCCCTGGGATAGTTTACATGTGGAATTTACATCCTGCCTGCATATCCACCAGGGTGGCAAAATGGATTGCCAAACCCTGACTCTGCATTTAAATGGATTTTCCACCCTTCTGTTTTAGTTTTAATTGAACTGCATAAACATTGCCAACATGTGAGACTGGATTTTGACACCTTACTTAGCATTTTTTTATTATTAGAAGCTTTAGCTAGAAGCACTGATAATTAAAATAAAGTAAGCAAGCAAAGAAAAAAAAAAAGACAAAAGGGAAAGAGATCCTGAAAAATTTAAATGCTGGTCAGGGCTCTCCCCACCTTCCTTACACAGCTTTTATGTCTTTACATGGAAATCCTGCAGGGCAAGGTGGATGCAATTGGTCCAAATCTGGAATTCTCCTTGGAGCACAGTTTGCTTACACTTAGAATAACATGGAGTTAAGGTTTTTAATAAAGGTTTACTGGCAGAGATAATTAAATCAGGAATAAGTTGAAATGCTTGAAGAAGGTGGTGGTGTCACTCTAGAAGATCCTTGCCTGAGGATGTAATTATGGTGGCATGAAGTTTTGGAATGGATTATTCTGAATGAGAAAAACACCCGGCATGTTCTTAACTAGGAATTTTCCCTAGAAATTGTTTTTACAGTTCCTGTGGTCACTCTCCTTGTCTAGAAAAGCCTTTAGAGTTCCTCTGGTAAGAGAGGTCTCGTGGCAAGAGAATGAAGAAGTTTGTGTATCTCCTTTGGCTGAGTTTCTTGTAATGCAAGACATTTTTTTTCCATTTCTTTTATTTATGAGATCTCAGCTGTTGCTCTCTCTAAGAAGTTGCTGTTTTGGTGAGAGGGCAGAATTTTGGCACTGAAACTGCAGTGATTGGAGGGCAGCCTGCTCCAAGACTGTTAGCTGTGCAATGTGGAATATTTTAACAGCATCCTGCTAAAATACTCTGAGAGGACTCAGAGTATTTATAGTATTAAAGCATTTTACTATTTTATATTGCTGCCACTTAGAGAATGGCAGCAAGGCTTCATAGCCCTGTTTAAAAAACATCCTGCAGGGAGGCAAGAGTGTGAGACCCTGTGATCCCATTTGTGTCATGGCAGGAGCTGCTGGTCCTGCTCACAATTTGGCTTTTGATAGTTATTTCTGATAGTTAGTTTGATAGTTATTTCTGATAGTTATTTTGATAATTATTTTCATAGTTATTTTTGGTATTGCAGTGTGCTGATGTTGGCATCAGCCTCTCAGGAGGTGGCTGTTAATGCCTGTTTGTCATCAATATCCAGTGGAAATGAACTTTCATTGCTCCCCAGATGTGATTAAGGGTTCAGTGAACTTTTCTTTCCTCTTCCAGGTTATAAGACCCTTTTGAAAGGGATTTCAGGGAAGTTCAGCAGTGGAGAACTCGTTGCAATTATGGGACCTTCAGGAGCTGGGAAGTCAACACTTATGAATATTCTGGCAGGATACAGGTCAGTACCAATGAAAATCCCAAGTTAAGATAAAATCACTGAGCCTGAGGGATCCTTGGAGACGACAGCAGAAGAAATTTTGGCTTACAGTTTGTCAGAAACAGGCGCTTCAAAGATTTTGAATTAGATTCTTTTTGCTTATCTTTTTTCCTCTGTGTCCTGTTTTGGTCACTTGGGATTTATCTCTCAACAGGTCTGATCCAAAAATAAAAAGCAATTTAAAATCCAAAAAACACACATATAGAGAAAACCTCCTTTTTTGGCAGTGTAACAAATCTGACTCATTGTCTTATGTTTGTGATGTTTTTTAAAATCACATAAACACTTGAAAAATCGACTCTTTTTAGTCACCACTTCATAATGTTGATGTCTTCTTCCCCAAAATGCAGCGACTGTGTTTCATTTTTTAAATCCTGTCTTGTATGGCTGTGACGGTGTTCACAGGGGTCTCAGGATGAGGGAAGAGATGAGAATTTAAATCCATATTTCAGAAGGCTGATTTATTACTTTATGATATATATTACATTAAAACTGTACTAAAAGAGTAGAAGAAAAGGTTCTCAGAAGGCTAGCTAAGAATAAAAAGGAATGAATAACAAATATTTGTGTCTTGGACAGAGAGTCTGAGCCAGCTGGACTGTGATTGGCCATTAATTAAAAACATCCAAGATGGGTCAATCAAAAATCCACCTGTTGTATTCCACAGCAGCAGATAATCATTGTTTACATTTTGTCCCTGAGGCCTCTCAGCTTCTCAGGAGGAAAAAATCTAAGGAAAGGATTTTCATAAAAAGATGATTGTGCCATATGGCCGTACAAGGTGTCTCTGTCTTGTCATTTGGGGCATAACAAACAGGATAGAGAAACCTAAAAAAAACCCCAACTTTAATTTCTTGATATTTCTTTAGATTTATATATGACAGCATACATTTTAAGTAAAATTTTCAGCATGATGGCATGAAGCTTTATATCAAAGAAAGCATGAACAGGAGATAATTTCATCTCTATCCAGTCTACCAAAATTGTTTCACAGAGGGAACAACTCCCTAAGACTTCCAGGTGCTCAGTCATTTGGCAGCACAAGTGATGGTGAGATTCACCTCTGGCTGTTGCTTTTTGGTTTCAGAGAGACGGGGATGAAAGGAGAAATCCTCATCAATGGGCAGCCGCGCGACCTGCGCTCCTTCCGCAAGGTCTCCTGCTACATCATGCAGGATGACATGCTCCTTCCTCACCTCACTGTCCAGGAGGCCATGATGGTGAGATTGGTTCCTTGCTCTCATTTATCTGAACGGGGTAAATGGGGAATGGTTTGTGTTGTGCCCTTGGTCCTGTCCCTGGCAGTGCCGCAAGATGTTATCCCTGTCCGGTCCCTCTCAGTGAGAGTTCTTGGAATTTGGTGATGCCTTGAATTCCATTTCAGGCTCATCCTTCTTTGGCTTTATAATTTCCAGTTTGTGCCCAGCATTGTGATTTGGAAGGAGATCTAAGTATCTGCTCCTTAGATCTAGAGAATGGAACCTGACATTCTTCCCAACTGAGCCTTTGTAGGGTGTGACGGTGTTCAGAGGGGTGTTAGGATGAGGGAAGAGGTGAGGATCTGACTCCATGTTTCAGAAGTCTTGATTTATTATTTTATGATATATGTTACATTAAAACTGTACTAAAAGAATAGAAGAAAAGATTTCATCAGAAGGCTAGCCAAGAATAGAAAAAGAATGATAACAAAGGTTTGTGGCTCGGACTCTCTATCTGAGCCAGCTGACTGTGATTGGCCATTAATTAGAAACAAGAACATGAGACCAATCACAGATGCACCTGTTGCATTCCACAGAAGCAGATAATCATTGTTTACATTTTGTTCCTGAGGCCTCCAGCTTCTCAGGAGGAAAACTCCTAAGGAAAGGATTTTTCATAAAAGATGTCTGTGACAGTAGGGACCATCTGTTTGCTTGGGTGGTGGATGAGTAACCTCATCTCTCTCTCTTTCTCCCCATCTTTCATGTTCTGACTGAAAACTGGTATTTACACTTCAGTGTGATCTCTCTGCCACTTCTACTCTTTTGTGCCTTTTTTAAAATTAAGGCATTTTTAAAAATCTCTTTCATTTTATAAAATCTCTTTCTTCATGGGGAAAAAACAGGAACAGAATAAGTCCAAGATGCAGAGGCAATGTTAATTCTTCTCATTGTTTTACATCATGTCAGCAAGTTTATGAATTGACAGCTTGACCAGTTAGTGTGGAAGTGTCTGTAGCTCAGCTTGAGAAATGAGCCAATATTTCTCAGAAATTGTTATAAAACAAGGCTCAGGTTGCTCACACTGTGCCAGCTCAATTCACAAATTTTAAGGCCAGAATAAATCACCCCAGGCTTTATGTGGCTGATTTTCTGCAAAGGCTCTTTTCTGTGGAGAAGTTTTTTGTCTCTTTTGTTTACTTGAGTGTTTTCATCAGAATCCCATGGGACCACTTTTGCAGAATTTGGCCCAGATTATAGCTGCTGTCTAAAATTAATCAATCAAGGCTCTGACAAAAAATAATTACCTAACAGTTTAATTGCTTTTAATAAAGGTTAATCATGTTGTTTTGTGGAGCTGCTTTTCAGGACAGCAGATGACATCTTTCATAAGATTATTTATTTCTCTGCTCACTTGTTTGCATGCTGGAGAATGGCAGAGTTCAGTTATCCTTACAGTGAGAAGCACAAATAAACTGTGTTTCTAAGATTATCTGGAAATTTTTTTGATGTGCAAAATATGTCACTTCCCCATCTTCCTGTAAAGCTCTTTGAGTTGCAGAATGGGTGGTGGATGGTATTTTTTCTAATACACTTTCTCTCAGGTGCTTTGCCTAAGTCAAATTAAGCTCAGTTATTTACTGCACAGAAAAATGTGATGCTTGTGGCTGATACATTGTAGTTCAAGTTCAGATTTTCTGACTGGCTTGACAGAAGTTGTTTAAGTGGTACCTTGGAGTGCTGGGCCTGAGACATCTCCTCTGAGTGGTGGCTGTGCTTCAGGCCAGCTCAAAAATCAAATTCCACTGTTTTGCATTCCAGGTATCTGCTCATCTGAAACTTCAAGAGAAAGATGAAGGGAGGAGAGAAATGGTATGTACAGTGCCCATCAAAGTGGAATTTGGGGGATGCCAAGAAGTGAGCTCAGTAAAGCAGACATTTTTTATCTAACACTGAACTGCACTGGACTTGCAGTGACAGAATAATTCATATTCTCTAGGCTGACGTGCATTAGGAGAGAATGTTCACTTCAGCCTCCTGCATTCTGTACAAGACTGGAAATCTGTAAAAGGTTTACTGAAACAAATCCCCAGGTTCTGCAGGATTCCTGTTAATGCACCTTGGATTCTCCAGTGTGCATCTCTTGTGGGGTGAGATAAATCACCCAGCTGGACCTGCACGAGGAACTCTGCTCCTCTAATCCATGGGGAAAAGCACAACTTTTCCTGAAATATGAAACCTGTGGCAACTCCCTAGGTAGATCAGCTGGTTTTGTGACTGTCCTTTCTCTGTGTTTATTTCCAAATTGGAACAATTGGGCATTTCTTCAGACTCAAAAGAATCCTTGAAAATCAGAAACGGAAACTTGCAGCAATCAACTTGTTGTGAAGAAAACAAACACAGGTTATTTTCTTATTGGAAAATATATTTATATAGAAACAGCTGTTAACTTAATTGTACTTTGGAAGCCTTAGTTCATTTACACTTTTGTGAAGTTAGGCCAAGCAAGTTAATTCACTTGTTCACACTGTCACTGTAATTACAAGCAGCTCTTTGAGTTAAAATCTGGGCTGTGTTTATTCAACACATGTTAGAAGAATTTTCTAGTTCATGTTACTGGCCTGTGCAGAAGATAATTCATTTTACTGTTGTAAATTGGAGTGTAAATGTTTATCACAGAAAGATGTTACGAATTTCTACACTTGTGCCAGCAGGATTGCAGACTCTGTTTAAAGCAGGGACAATGAAAATCCTTAGGTGAACCACAGATTATGTTTCCAGCTGTCCTTGCTTGTGCTGCCTGAGTCCTGTTTACCCTTCCCAGAAATAAAGGGAATGAGGTAGCTGGGCTTCTTCTTTTGAGAAACAAGGCTTAGTGGGTTTTGTTATTTTTTTACTCCCCCTTTCTGGGAGAGAGAACTCCTGGAAATCAAAATCAGGACAAGCAAAGGGTCAGGCCCTGGTTGGTGTCACCAGTTTTCACCAGGTCAGACATTCTGTCTGGAAAACTCTCTCCATCCAAGCAGTTGATGCTTTGACAAATGGTGGGCCCTGTTTCCTAAACTTCAGTGAAGTATTAAAGGTCTGGGCTGCTTTCTGCCTTTGAAGTGGTGGGGTTTGTTAATTGAATGAGCAATGTAGCTCATGGATTCTCTCATTTTTGTGTCCATGCTTTTATTGAAGCCAAAGAGCCATTTCCCTTATTTAGGAATACCAGCCCAGATCTACTATCACTGAAACAAATCCTAGAGCGCGGGATTGTTCTCCTTTTGCTCCAAAAGCCCTGGGATGAGCTGTGCCCTTCCTGAGGCTGTGCCTTGAGGGAATCCCAAACATCTGAGAGTCCCTGTGACAACTGCATTGACCCCGAGTGGAATGAACACACCTGAAATCAATGGCTGCACTTGAAAGAGGAGACTGTGGTGAGGAGATGAGATAAACCAGGTCACTGCTCCACAGAAACCACTGGGGTTTGTTATAGATCCCTTGCAGAGACAGCTCCAGAGCTCTACTGAAAGAATCTTCTTGGTTTCACTGTGTAAGAGCCCCTCACATGCAGCAAAGCTCCTTTGATGTCAGTGCCATACCCATAAATACACAGCTACAGAAGAGCTGATTTCCACTCCTTTTTCACCTGAGTGAGGTCATGCAGGACAAACAAACAGAATTTGGGTCAAAACCGTAAATGGCAGAAAAACTTGTGAACGCTGAGTCTAATAAATGACTAATAAATACATTAGATTGTGACCGTGTTCACAGGGCTCCTTGGATGAGGGAAGAGATGAGGATCTGACTCCATGTTTCACAAGGCTTGATTTATTATTTTATGATATATATTACATTAAAACTATACTAAAAGAATAGAAGAAAAGGTTTCATCAGAAGGCTAGCTAAGAATAGAATAGGAAGGAATGATAACAAAGGCTTGTGGCTTGGACAGAGAGTCTGAGCCAGCTGACTGTGATTGACCATTAATTAGAAACAATCACATGAGACCAATCACAGATGCACCTGTTGCATTCCACAGCAGCAGATAATCAATGTTTACATTTTGTTCCTGAGGCTTCTCAGCTTCTCAGGAGGAAAAATCCTAAGGAAAGGATTTTCCATAAAAGATGTCTGCGACATTAGATGGGAAAAGGCTTTATGTGGGTGGTGGAACAAAGTTGTGAGTGGTCTGCAGCCTCCATGAAAATCAGCGAAGGGGCTGGAGGTTTTCCATGTTCCAACAGCCTGCAATGTTCTGCTCCCTCCAGGTGAAGGAAATCCTGACAGCCCTTGGTTTGCTGACCTGTGCCAACACGAGGACTGGGAGCCTCTCTGGGGGCCAGAGGAAACGCCTGGCCATTGCTCTGGAGCTGGTGAACAACCCCCCTGTCATGTTCTTTGATGAGCCCACCAGGTACTGCAAGGCCAAAAATCAAACACAGGCAAAGATGGTTTTGCATAGTAGAACAGAGCTAGAGAAAAGCTATTCCCCTCTAAATGTTTGGAAAAGGCTAATTTTGTGTTGTCTGCAAGCACTGAATTAGGCCAAGAAATAATTTGATTTGGATTCTTGATGCCCTATGTCACTGCTGGGCTGTGGGGCTGTAAGTTACATTTAAAGCATTCACAAACTGCTGGATTGTAGGGCTATAAATAATATTTAAAGCAGACACAAACTGATGGACTGTAGGGCTGTAAGTAAAAGCATTCACAAACTGGAAGAAATGGAAGGAACAGAGAGAGACGAAAATATTGTGGCATGGATTTTATTTTTCCAGCAAAGACTGCTTGAATGTAAACATTTTAAAATGTGACTTTTGGTAATGAATGTGATCAGCCTGGGAGGAGGCTGGCAAAGCTATGAATATGTATCTGTTCATTAAAGCTGGGAGCATTTAAATCTGCTGCCCTAAAATGCAGAATTCCCTTAAGGCTGCTGTGAGAATACTCTTTTTCATTCTCAGGCATGCTTGCAACTTAATTAAAAGCCTGATGGAGAAGTACAAGCATAAGGTTGGCATATGATAAAATGAAAATTATACAGAGAAGATTTATAAAAGGATAATAATGGGATACCTTGCAGCAAATGCATGTGCTGGTTTTGAGTGGTGGCTGTGGATAATAAACTTGTTTGGTTTTATTTTTTCCAGTGGCTTGGACAGTGCATCATGTTTTCAGGTGGTCTCTCTGATGAAGGCTTTGGCCCAGGGTGGCAGATCCATCATCTGCACGATTCATCAGCCCAGTGCAAAGCTGTTTGAGCTCTTTGACCAGGTATTGCTCTCAAATTTTCTCTTCATCTGTGGTTTAGGGTGCTTATACTTTTAAGGCATAACCACCTTTTAATCAAAAAACCATCAAAAACCATCAAAAACCATCAAAAACCAAGAAACCATCAAAAAGGCATAATCACCTCTTTAATCAAAAAACATGAATAATTCTGGTTGATGGCTACGAATCATATAAAGAAATTAAATAAATAATAGCAAAACATGCTTCTTCATTATGTTTTTTCCTTCTTCTCTGCCCATTTCCTTTATTTATGTAGAATGTTTGAATCTTGCTGTTAGGTTTGTGAAATCATGATTATTGGTGATTGTGATGCCTTCACCCAGCACTGCTCCTTGCACTGAAGTAAATTAGAGCAATATAAAAGCAGGAGAGCTGCAGTGTCAATGTCTGCAATATATCTGTGTATCCTAGATACACAGGTGTGGATTGAGGAGTTAATTCACATGAAATAATAATAATAATCAAATTTAGTATTGAAAATTAATTCAAAATTAAGTCAGTTGGAGAACTTCTCTCCAAGCCAACAATGGCATGTGGACCATGTGTGTTTGGATTAGATATAAAAAATGTATTTTAGTCTTGTCAGAGGATTTAGATTAGTCCTGTGAGAGCTGAGAGAAAACCTCCACCACCACAGGTGAACAAACTCTTGCAGATTGCCAGTCTGGCAGGGAAGTTTATTTAAAGCCAAATCGTGGCTAAAAGTGAGAGTGATGGAGCTGTTTTTGCTGTTGCTGTGCTGCCCCAGCTCTCCTTCCATCCCTGCCCAAAATATCCACAATGTGTGGAAATTAGATGGCTTGGCTCTCCAGCTCCTTGCCTATTTTCAGCCTGTGCCAAGGGCTGCAATGAGGGTGTTTCTGTGTTAATGTGTTTGAAGTCCTGCAGGCAATGTGTGGAGAATTCCAGCTCCAGGCATTGAATTTTCCATTAGTTGTGGTTCCATGCAAAGTTAATTTCGAGTGGTGACAGATCTCCCCAAGCTGTTCTTCCCACAGGGACAAGAAGATGTTATCAGGCAACAGGTTCAAATATTTTGGTGCTATTTCACATTTTTTCTTGTTTCTTTTTCTTCTATTTTCTTTTTCTTCTATTTTCTTTTTCTTCTATTTTCTTTTTCTTCTTTTTTCTTTTCACTCTTGAGACTATGGACCAGTTTACTCAGATGATCTCAACCTCCCTTAAAAAGGATTTTTCAGTTTAAAGTGATGTCAAAACTTAAAGAACTTGGTTATTCCTGGTTGAGAGTATTTCACATTTTTTCTTTTTCTTCTATTTTCTTTTTTTTTTTTTCTTGCTTTCCAGCTCTATGTTCTAAGTCAAGGTCAGTGCATTTACCGTGGGAAGGTAACAAACCTTGTCCCTTACTTGAGAGATTTGGGGCTGAATTGTCCAACCTACCACAACCCAGCAGATTTTGGTAAGGACAGCTTGAATAGTTTATTTCATTTCTTTTGTACTTTATCATTTTATATTGTTATCACCTTCAGGGTAAAGGGAACCATGATGTGATTTATACTTCTGTACATACATTCTTATGTGCTTTGTCCATATATGAACCAAAATAAAAGTAATCAGATTTTTTTTCCAAAGTAATTTGAATGCCACCTAGTGGTACAATTTCGTGCATATTTCTCTCTGTTAGAAGTCCAGGTTCAGGAAATGAAAGATAAAGTGTATTCTTTAGTGTTTCATAGTAACTAATAGTAACTTTTTTAAGTAGCTTCAGTATTCCGCTTGTTTTCTTTTTATCTCGAGCAGTAGTACAGCTTAGAGCATTGAGGGTTTTTTCAGTGCTGTTTCTTAATTTAAAAAATTGCAAAGTGCCACAAAAATAGACTTATTCTATTTTCTGTATTCACTGTGTTTCCTCTGAACTTCATTTAACTTCCAGGATGAGGAGATCTCTCTGAAGATTTATGGAAAGATAAATTAAATTTTTGAAAATTTAAATGTTTGGGTATGGATATGAATTTGCACATGGCGCTTTAAAGCCTGTAGTAAAAAAAAAAAAAATTAAAAATTTAAAAAAATTTTAAAATTTAAAATCTGGTTTTGTTAGTGCATTGGGGATTTAACAACAAGGCTTGTACGTGGTCAGCAGTAACTTCAACCTTTGCAAAGCAGTAATTTGTAATTTCACCCTTTGTAAAGCAGTAATTTCAACCTTTGCAAAATGTGATGGTGTTCACAGGGGTCCCAGGATGAGGGAAGAGATGAGGATCTGATTCCATGTTTCAGAAGGCTGATTTATTATTTTATGATATATATTACATTAAAACTATACTAAAAGAATAGAAGAAAAGGTTCTCATCAGAAGGCTAGCTAAGAATAGAAAGGAAAGAATGAATACAAAGGTTTGTGGCTTGGACAGAGAGTCCGAGCCAGCTGACTGTAATTGAACATTAATTAGCAACAACCAACATAAGCCAATCACAGCTGCACCTGTTGCATTCCACAGCGGCAGATAATCAATGTTTACATTTTGTTCCTGAGGCCTCCCAGCTTCTCAGGAGGAAAAATCCCAAAGAAAGGATTTTTCATGAGAAGATGTCTGTGCCAGCAAGGCAGTGACTCCAGGCTGTGTGTTTCAGTGATGGAGGTGGCCTCGGGCGAGTACGGGGACCAGAGCAGCCGCCTGGTCAGGGCGGTCAGGGAGAGGATTTGTGACTCCGACTACAAGCGAGACGTGCCTGGGGAGCACGAGCTGAACCCCTTCCTGTGGCACCGGCCCTCTGAGGAGGTATTTGTGCATCTCTGCATGGGGAGTGTCATGGTTTAGCCCATTTAAACCCTCCCTCGGCGGAGGGGGCTCTGGGCGCGCTCAGCTGATGTGAGTGGGCTCTTGTGAATGAGAGGCAAGGCTGCAGAGCAAGGGGTTTGTTCTGTGTGTGTTCCTGCAGGACTCCTCCTCCACAGAAGGCTGCCACAGCTTCTCTGCCAGCTGCCTCACCCAGTTCTGCATCCTCTTCAAAAGGACTTTCCTCACCATCATGAGGGACTCGGTAAGAATGAGTTATAATAACTTTTGTGGCCAAAAAGGTCTGTCCAGCTGGGTGTGAGGGTCCTCAAAGGTCCTGTCCAGCAGCCTACCCATGAATTATCACAGAATTCCAAAGGGAAGAGGCTGATCTCTCAGTCTTGCTGTTAACTCTGCCATCTTCATTGTCAATAACAGCTTTCTACTCAGAAGCACCTGGCCTAAAAACCCAAAGTTCAAATCCCCTCTGTGCTGGCAGGTCTCTTATACAGTTATTAATCCTACTGAAAAGTGAGTGGGAAGTTGTAGTGCTGTCACAAAATTAGGTTTTCCAGAAAATTCAGGATGGCAGAGATAATAACTTCAGTGTGCTGTAATCTTACCACTTAAAATCTTCATTTTTGGAAATAGAAAATCAGTAGATAAAAAGTTTACTTCTTTGACATAACTCGTTCTCCCTTCCTCCTTTTTATAACCACATTTGTCAACAAGGATTAATTAAGTTAATGAATTAAAATCAGGAGAAACTATGACTGATTTGCTGATGCACAGATTGAAGGACATTGTTGTTTTTAATATATTTTTTTCCTGCTCGACTCTAAAGGCTTGCAGTTGTTCCCAATGTTATTATTTCCTTTGTTCTTCCAAGCCTCTTGTGGGAATTCTGTGTTGCAGAGAAGGCACAGAAAGCTAATTTATTCCTGATGAAGTTACTTGGGTCTACACAAGCCTAAAATGCCTTTTCTGCTTCTCCTCTGCTCTTGGGAAATTTATCTTTTAGTCAGAAAGTCTCTTTCCCCTGGTGAATAAGAGCCAGTGGCTCCATGATATTGTCAGACAGGGAGATTTCAGCTTGCAGCATTTGCAGTTCCTGCCTGTATTACCTGGAAGAAATTTTCATGGGAAGCTCAAAATTTTTGTCACCCAGTAGGAAATGAGCATTTCTCATGGCAGGGCATTGAACTTGGTGATCTTTAACCTTCCAATGTGACGGTGTTCACAGGACTTCTTGGATGAGGGAAGAGATGAGGATCTGATTCCATGTTTCAGAAGGCTTGATTTATTATGATATATATTATATCTATATATAATAGTATAGTATATTAAAACTATACTAAAAGAATAGAAGAAAGGATTTCATCAGAAGGCTAGCTAAGAATAGAAAAAGAATGAATAACAAAGATTGGTGGCTCAGACAGAGTCTGAGGCAGCTCACTGTGATTGCCCATTAATTAGAAACAACCAACATGAGACCAATCCCTGTTGCACTCCACAGCAGCAGATAATCATTGTTTACATTTTGTTCCTGAGGCCTCCCAGCTTCTCAGGAGGAAAAATCCTAAGGGAAGGGTTTTTCAGAAAATGTGTGTGTGACATTCCAACCCAAACCACTCTAATGGTTTCTATAGAAGATTTTCTGGACATAAGTGCTCCCTTTCTGCAATCTATCCAATTTCAGCCCCACTGTCACCGTTTCTGAGCCCAGACATCCTGAGTAATGCCACTCTTTGCTTACCACAGGTCCTGACACACCTGAGGATCACCTCACACATTGGCATTGGGCTGCTCATCGGATTGCTCTACTTGGGCATTGGCAATGAGGCCAAGAAAGTCCTCAGCAACTCGGGGTTCCTCTTTTTCTCCATGCTGTTCCTAATGTTTGCTGCTCTCATGCCCACTGTCCTCACCTGTGAGTGCTGGGTGCTGTGTCACAGCACAGGGAGGGGGTGCTGGATGTGACCGTGTTCACAGGGGTCCCAGGATGAGGGAAGAGATGGGGATCTGACTCCATATTTCAGAAGGCTGATTTATTATTTTATGATATATATTACATTAAAACTATACTAAAAGAATAGAAGAAAAGGTTCTCATCAGAAGGCTAGCTAAGAATAAAAAGGAGCTAAGCTAAGAATAAAAAGAAATTATAACAAAGGTTTGTGTCTCAGACAGAGAGTCCGAGCCAGCTGGGCTGTGATTGGCCATTAATTAGAAACGACCACATGAGACTAATCACAGATGCACCTGTTGCATTCCACCGCAGCAGATAATCATTGTTTACATTTT